CAGGATGGTCTTAGGCGGACCCCTGTGAAAAGGGTCGTTCGACGGGCCAAAGGGGTCTCGACCCACAGGGTGAGAACCGCTGCCATGATGTGAGTCCGATCCCTCACATCATGAATGAAGGTACCCAGTTGGGGGGTGGAATGTAGGAGTGGATTTATGACAAAATGAACTTCTGGATAACCCCGGGCTTTGCATGTCCCCCGCGACGGGCCAATGGTGCAGCGTGGGTCAGCAGGGGTGCTCCCTCCTGGGCCACCCCCCCCGCAGCAAGGAGGTGGTGAGGATGGGGCTCTTCCACGGAGGCTCAGCTGGGTCCCGGCCTATCCAGCGCGGGCTAGTTTTGCGCAGATGTCCCTGTCCCCCCTTACCGCCTGCTCTAGCCTTCGCACTGGTCCTCCGACCCCGGCCCAGAAGCCGGGAGCCTGCAGAGCAGCAGGGGAGTCGGGAGATTTTAGACAGTGAAACCTCCCCGGCACGGGCTCTTCGGAGAGGACAGGCTGAATCGAGCGTCAGCCGACAGAAGGGTGACCCCAAAGTGGAAAAGTGAGGACGCTCGGTGTCTCCCAGTCCACAGGCGAGCAAATAAAATGCCCCTTTCCAGCAGGCGACGGACCTAGAGCGAACAAAAGTATTGTGCCCCGTGTGAGGATCGAACTCACGACCTTCAGATTATGAGACTGACGCGCTACCTACTGCGCTAACGAGGCACCTAGAAGGCTCTCTCGGCTGTATACTAATGAGCCTGGCCCGGCGGCCCTGTGCGCATGCTCACGGAACTCTGGTCTTGTTCGTCTACAGCGGATCGCGGGACACTGAGAGTTCTCCGCCCCCAGAGTTCGAAAGGGAGGGAGGACGTCCTGGCCCAAGCGCTCATCCGGGCTCCGGTCTTCCTCCTCCTGTGGGTCTGTTTGCAAACAATCACTTCGGCTTGCTAGACGGCGCTGCGCTGGGAAGGGCGACACGGAAGACTGCGCTTCTCCCAGCAATAGTAAACTCTGATTTTTGTATAGTGTTTGCAAAGCGTCTGCACCGGTGTGATCGCGGGAAACACTTATTGGGCACCTACTGTGTTCCCGGTGCTGCGTTCGCAGGGACACTCCCCGCTTCAAAGAGTTGGAAGGGGGCGCGCAACTGCACAGTAACACACGCACATACACACGCACACTATTTCGGTCCCACGGCAAACCCCCTCCAGCCGAGTCCCCGGCCCCTCCCGGCGCCCCAGGCCGAGGCCACTCTTAGAGGCGTCCGCAGCTCCGGAAGCGACAGCGGCAGCCTGTTGGAAGCCCCCCGCCCCATCTCTATTATTCCCCCCTCCTCCCCCATTAGCACAGCTCATTTAAATACATTCCTTGTTCAAGGAAGCTTGGGGTCACTATCATTAACGGAAAACGTGTGGGGTTTCCCCCCTATTATATGTTAAAATAAATACACGTGCCATCTAAAATCAGCCAGACTGCGACATCCTTAAGATTTGCATATTTCGCTCTATGTAAGTTTTACCTAAAAAATAATAATAAATTAAAAATGACGGACATACGGTACGGTTCAATGGACCAAGGGACCTAAGAACGAAGGTGGAGCGATTAGGAAGACTGCGAGTAGTAAAATGTCAGTGCAGAGTTAGGTGGTGGAGGTACGGATATCCACGGTGCAATCCTTCCAACGTTTCTGTGTATCTGAAATTTTTACTATAAAGTGCTGGGAGAGGGATTTTTTAAATCACCCAGAATGTGAGAGATAAGGTGGGATGTTAAGGGAAGTGAATGGCGATGAGTGTAAGGAGGTGGAGAAAATATTATGGTAGGAGCAAGGACTGGAATTCCTGGGAGTGGGGGGAGAGATAATGGGAGGGGGTGGAGAGCGACCCCTAGAGGGGTGGTCTGTGAGACCCAGGGCAGGGGAGGCCCCGGGTAGCTAGAGGAGGGGTGGTGGGCTCCTTAGGGCATCCTAATGTCTCCTTAGGAGGCCTCAAGGATAGAGGCAGGTTGTGCTGACCCCAGACCTGGAGGATTGGGTGGAACTTCCCACCCTCATGGTCCCCAAGGGAACCCAGGACCTCCCAATTCTCCAGAAAATTCTCCCACCCACGCTTCCCACCCAAGGGGAGGTATTCTTGGGGTCAGGCTGCTAGGGCCCTAGTTCCTGCCCCAGGGCAGGAGGGCAGAGGCCCTGGCAGGGGCTAGAGAGGGAACCCACATGTGCACACACACTCATAGGAATCTTTGCAGGGTCCCTGACCCCTGTGGACTGCAAACTTGGGGTGTCACAGAGTTTCACTCCATCTCCAGGCCCGAGGAACGCTGATGGACGTGAGTTAAATCCCAATGGTCCTGTCTCCCACAATTACAAACTGCCAGGTCCAGCAGTCCCATGACTGGGAAGGTGTCCAACAGACAGACTCGTCCACGGCCATGGTTATTCCCTGAAGTCGTATCAGAACTGAAAACAATTGGAAACAGCTAGTGTCCATCAACAGGGAACTGTTCCCAAGAATGTCTTCCCAGTTGTAAGAACGGGGACTCTCTATGCCTGATTTGGAATGAGGGAGGAACGCAGGGAGGGAGGGGTCACCATTTCTGCAGGGGGGAGGGGAGAGGTATATTCACATTTGCTGGTGTTTGTTCACTAAACCTCCGAAAGAATGCGCAAAAACATAAGGTCAGTGATTAATATGTGTGGGCACGTATGAATTGAAGACGTTTTAAAAATAAACTTTATTATTCTAAGTCTTAGGTTTACAGAGAAATTACAAAGATAGTAGAGTCCCTATAAAGCCCCACCCCCACCCCCCACCCCCGTTTCCCTTATTCTTAACATTTTAGGTGAGTATGGTATCTTTGCAACAATTAGTGAACCAGTGTTGAGAGGTTATTGACTGGTCTATCTTGATTCAGATTCCCTCGGTTTCCCTAAATGTCCTTTTTGTGCCCCAGGATCCACATGTAGTGGACGCATGGCTCCCTAGGCTCCTTCCCCGTGACAGTTCAAGGCTTTCCTTGGTTTGGAAGGACAGGTCCAGAAGAGGGTGGGCTGGAAGCTGCTCCAGGGGGGCCTTCGGTAGAGCCTGGGGGGTCCTGGGCAGCATCTTGGGGCTTGGCCTGCCCTTCGGCCTCAGGGCCCCCCACAGTGCCCGGAGGCTCAGGCTGTGGGGGGCAGAGCTGGAGTGCCTGGTCCTCCAGAATGGGCCCTGGGGGGGCCTGCTGTGCCCCCATCCCGCCCAGCTGCTCCAGCCTCTGCTGCTTAGCCTGCCTGTGGTTGTTGATGATCCGCCGGATACCCTTGACTATGCCCTTCTGGTCCTCGGGGACGAGGCCCAGGAAGGCTTTCTTCTTGGATGAGTACATGAGCATAAGCAGGTTTGGTTCCCCAGGAGCCTGCTGGGGAGGTGCATGCAGCCACATAGCCCTTGTCCATGAGACGGTAGAGAGTTTGACGGACTCAGGTTTTTGTG